TGCTCTCTGTCAGGGCTGGGAGCGCACAGGCGTCCCCGACCGCGCGCCCTCAGCCGGCCCGTCCAACGAACAGAGCGTCCCCGCCGGCCCTGCAGCACAGCCGGCTCTCCCCAGGGGGCACGGCCCTCCTTTTAGCTCTGGGTGCAGAGGAAAGAGACACACACAGATCAGCCTGCCAGGCATCATGACACGTTTTAAACATTTTGAATTCATTTTTCGTTTTAACGTAGAAAGTTGCGTGTCTTTTGAGAACGCCCCGAGAGCCAGCTATGGTTCTGCCCCGAGCCATAGACTGCCCACCCCGCTCGAGAGCAAACTCGCTGTCCTCGCTGAAAGTGGTCTCAGTGCCACCAGAGGGGACGGTACGGAAGGGGTGTGGGTTACAGTTGGTCGAGTGGAACCAGTGCACGTCTGGAGACCCGGGCTAAGAGGCTCACTCCCCGCCGTGGTGCCGACAGCAGCTCGTGTGACAGGGTTCCCGCTGGAACTGACGAAGGCTATGTCTACACTCGCGGCTTCTTGCGCAAGTACTATGCAAATGAGGCTAAGCGTGAAATATCGCTGAGCTTCATTTGCATATCTAATGAGCCACCATTTTTTGCAGAAGAGGCTCTTGCGCAAGAAGGAGTGTCTACACTGCCCCTTCTATCGCTGTGCCCATTTTACAGATGTGAAACGAGGAAGAGAGAGTCAAGTCGCGATTCACCAACATGCGTCAGCTGGATTTTAAAACTGATTTCCATTCTGGAAATCCCAACACCACTTGACTTGAAGCTGGCGTGAAACACGAAGCCCAGTTAGCGGCTCCTTTCAATCAGGCCCTTTGTAACTCAGTCAAAGAAGCCTGTGAAAAGCCTCCCTGCTGTACATTTAATCTACCTTGTAACACTCTGCATTGCCACCTTTATACCCGTGTGCTACCCAGACAAAGTCGAATTAAAGTATCACTTGTCTTGCCTGAAAGACTTTTATTAAAAAACAAGTGTGGGTGATTCCTTTGCGACTCCGCATTTAAATGTTGAACACACAAACTTCTGTCTATATTTTGAGAAAAGTCTTCCCGCAGGATAATTACTTGGGTGCGGGGGGGGAGGAAGGAAGCACAAAGTGCAGCGACACACACAAAAACTACAGCCCCCGATGCAGTACAGCCCATCAGCCCCCGACTAAAATCCCATGAAAGGTCAGCACGGTCTCATGATTTCAGCAGAGGTTGCAACAACGTATGTTTCTAAACAAACAGAGCTGGCTTTCTACCAAACACACTGCAGCACAATCGTTTCAGAGGGGTGGCCGAGTTCGCCTGTAATAGAAAAAGCTTTAAAAAAACCAACTAATTCATCTGAAGAAGTGGGTTGTGCCCACGAAAGCTCGAGACACCATCTAAAAAAAATATCTGAAGAAGTGGGTTGTGCCCACGAAAGCTCGACACACCATCTAAAAAAAAATTATTATTTTTTGGTTAGTCTCTAAGGTGCTGCAGGACTATTTGTTCTTTTTTAAGTTTTTTCTACAGCAAAATCAATATTCTCAGGGCGCCATCTTGTGGAAAGACCCATTACTACATGAATTAAACAGTTCAATTACAGGCCCCCGCCCTCGCTATAAGTCCAAGATCGGTTCCAAAAACCTTGGAGTTATAGCAAAATTGGCGATTTTTTCCCCGTGGCTGACTTCCATTTGCGCAAATTGAGGGTTTTTTTTGTGTGTGACTTAAGAGCAGGGAATGGGAGAACTTATAACGCATCAGTTCCTAGGAGCATCAACGTTAGTGTGGAACGGATGTATACCGGGGCGACTTATAGCAGGAACGCCCTGTACTACATTCAATAAACAGACCCCTTGTTCCTTCAAGAGCTGGGTCTCGTTTCACACACACACACACACACACACACACACACACACGAGAACTCAAGAGCTAGGTCTCGTTTTACACACACACACACACACACACACACACACACGAGAACTGTTTTTTCACACCATCCCTGAATGCTACCACACCAAGCAACCATGTCGATTAAACTACACGAGCAACAGGAACACGCAACGGCCAGGCTTTAGATGCCTAAGAAATTGCCACCTTTGCTGTCTTTCTGTGACGCTCATTTTAAAATGCAGAGACATTAAACGACGCGGCTGAAAAGCGGTCTGGCGCTTCAGAGGGATTTAATTCCTGGGGTCTGTAGAGGAGAGCAGAGCTGAGCCCGGTTTTCGGTGCACAGCAAAATCAAAGGAATACATTTCTTCTGGAATCGTGTTATACAAATGCAGATAAACGGATCTTGTGATCCCTGGGCAGGCAAAACTCCCTCGGAAGTCAGTGGGAGATGTTTCTGGGCAAGAATTGCCAGATCAGACGTTCTGCGTCCTAGGACGATGATGATGGAGCACAGGAGATGTGGTAGGGTCAGGGGGGTGATATGCAGTGACCAACATGCAGCGAGAGTGGAGAATATAGAAGAATTACCCAAGAACTAGAGGTCACTAAATGACATTAATAGGTAGTGAGTTTACAACAAACAAAAGGAAGTTTTGCTTCATACAGCACACAGTCAACCTGTGGAACTCCTTGCCAGAGGAGTGAAGACCAGGACTTTAACAGGTTTTAGGAAAGAAATAGATAAATTCATGGAGGTTAGATCCCTAATGCTTACTAGTCAGGATGGGTAGGAATGGTGTTCCTCACCTCTGTTTGTCAGAAGCTGGGAATGGGTGACAGAAGAGGGAATCACTTAGAATCATAGAATAATAGGACTGGAAGGGACCTCGAAAGGTCATCGAGTCCAGCCCCCCGCCCTCAAGGCAGGATCAAGCTCCGTCTACACCATCCCTGACAGATGTCTATCTAACCTGTTCTTAAATATCTCCAGAGAGGGAGATTCCACCACCTCCCTTGGCAATTTATTCCAATATTTGACCACCCTGACAGTTAGGAATTTTTTCCTAATGTCCAATCTAAACCTCCCCTGCTGCACTTTAAGCCCATTACTCCTTGTCCTGTCCTCAGAAACCAAGAGGAACAAATTTTCTCCTTCCTCCTTGTGACACCCTTTTAGATATTTGAAAACCGCTATCATGTCCCCCCTTAATCTTCTTTTTTCCAAACTAAACAAGCCCAGTTCATGAAGCCTGGCTTCATAGGTCATGTTCTCTAGACCTTTAATCATTCTTGTCGCTCTTCTCTGTCCCCTTTCCAATTTCTCCACATCTTTCTTGAAATGTGGTGCCCAGAACTGGACACAGTACTCCAGCTGAGGCCTAACTAGTGCAGAGTAGAGCGGCAGAATGACTTCACGAGTTTTGCTTACCACACACCTGTTGATACAACCTAGAATCATATTTGCTTTTTTTTTGCAACAGCATCACACTGTTGACTCATATTCACCTTGTGGTCCACTATGACCCCTAGATCCCTTTCTGCCATGCTCCTTCCTAGACAGTCGCTTCCCATCTTGTATGTATGGAACTGATTGTTCCTTCCTAAGTGGAGCACTTTGCATTTCTCTTTATTAAACCTCATCCTGTTTACCTCTGACCATTTCTCTAACTTGCTAAGGTCATTTTGAATTATGTCCCTATCCTCCAAAGAAGTTGCAACCCCACCCAGTTTGGTGATTCCTTGTTCTCTTCACTCCTTCTGGGGCACCTGGCATCGGCCACTGTCGGAAGACAGAATACTGAGCTAGATGGACTTTGGGTCTGATCAATGTGGCCGTTCTTATGAAGAGACAGCCCTGGGTAACAGCATTAGAGACAGGGTTTGAGTCCCAGGCTACCAATGAGACCAAGGATGTCTCCACTGCACACTAGCTCACCTGAGCCCAAGGCTGCCTGCCATCCACACACCAACTGGTCTGGCGCAGGGCTGAGCCCTCGGGCAAGGCCCCAGTACCCTGCTAAGAGAGTGGGTCAGAGCCCAAGCCCCGCTGAGCCAGGGGTCCAAACCCTGGGTTTTGCAGTGTAGAACCGCAGAAGGCGGGTGCCGCACAGAAGGGACAGGCTGGCGCTGCCACGGTCACGCCTGAGTTTTACAATGCCACGTGGTGGCACAGGCATGGGCGTGGGCAGGGGC